TGTATGTCTTGTCAGTACCTTAAATTCAACACGTTTAAAGCTGAAATTGTCATCTTGCACTGCTCAAATAACTATTCCTCCCAACTTCCCTATTTCTGTTAATGGGAACACTTTTCTCCCTTCTATCTAGGCACATTTCCTTCTCCTTCATCCAATTGCCAAGTCTTGACAATTTTTCCTCTTCAATGTCTTTTACATTCATTCCTTCTGTTCTGTTCTCAATGTCATCCCTCCTAGTTTAGCCCCTTATTACCTCTGATCTGGACCACTGCAATAGCCTACTAATTGGTCTCTATAACTCTAGTCAACCCGTTTCAATCTATCCCTCATTCTGCCACCAGATTAATTTTCCTCATGCAAGTTTCTAATGATGTTACTTCCTTGCCACTTTTAGTGGCTCCTCACTGCCTGTCCAATGAAATTCAAACTCCTTAGCCTGTCATGGAAGGGCCAAAACAATCTGACCCCAATTTACCATCCAGTCTTCTCTCATCAAACATGCAGAGGTTTCCACCTCTTGGCTCATGTGATTTGTTAGTCCAGAAATGCCTCTTCTTCATTCTTTACTCATCAAAATCATCTTCCCAATCCTTCAAAGTGCAATTCAAATGCTGAATTCTCTGTTATAAGCATGTATCAAAGGATCCTGGGCCCTTTCTCTGCTTTTTGTTTTTCAGTTACTATAGAGGCATCCTGTGAGAAGTTTTAAATTTGTATTACTAACCTCCATCTGAACATTAAAGGGGGAAAAGGAATGGGAGAAGATAAGGCTGATGTTGAGCACAGAAGGTTTCTTTTCTTTTGCTTCTAGTTCTTATTAGCATTTCACTTAGAAATGCCTTTTCACTTCTAGTATTGATCATCCTGGCCCAACACAGCAAATAGACTAGACTAAGTTATTTATCATTCACATGAAGGTAGACCATACTTTTACAGTCACACAATCAATTGGAAGGTGCTGAGGCTGTAAGATCCCAGATATGCTTAATGGTTTTATTAAAAGTCATTTGGTTGGGATGAACAAAATGCTGCCTTAAAGTCTTTCATTCAACAAAGAATACTTAACATGCATATGTTAAATCACACAAAATTCCATGAAGGATATAACAGTTGAGACAATTGTTAAATAACCTTCTGATACCAAGTGAGGCATAAAACAGCATGCTATGTGCTAGCCAAAGGTGTTTGCTGCTGTCATAGACACTGTCCAGTGCAAAGTCCAAATGGAAAAGGGGTTCTCTATGGATAGTGAGATACTGCAGATATTTACAGCTTCATATAACATTGTGATGATTTATTAAGCCTTAGAACAATGCAGAACCTTTCATATGAAATCCACAATCATTCTAGAGTTTGGTCTAAGTATGTATGCAGGAAAAAGCAAATGGGAAGGAAAAGGCAATTTTAGTAAAGTCACTTAAAACTATCATGCTCAGATGAAGAAATTAAAGCCAGCTATAATCATATGAAAAAATGCTCTAAATCACTATTGATTAGAGAAATGCAAATCAAAACAACTCTGAGGTACCACATCACACCTATCAGATTGACTGACATGACAAAACAGGAAAATGATAAGTGTTGAAGAAGATGTGGGAAAATTGGAACACTAATGCAATGTTGGTGGAGTTCTGAACTGATCCAGCCATTTTGGAGAGCAATTTGGAACTATGCCCAAAGGGCTGTAAAAATGTGCATACCCTTTGACCCAGCAATAGCACTTCTAGGACTGTATCCCAAAGAGATCATACAAATGGGAAAAGGACCCACATGTACAAAAATATTCATAGCAGCTCTTTTTGTGGTGACAAAGAATTGGAAATTGAGAGGATGCCCATCAATTGGGGAATGGATGAACAAATTGTATATTATTGTGATTAAAAAAAGATTAAAAAATTAAAAAATCAAAACTCTCACGATTTATCTATGAAAAGAAAAATTCTGAAGCTGGAAAGGACCTTAAGAGATCATCTCTTCCAATCCTCTCATTCTACAAAGAAGGAAACTGAGGCCTAGCTAAGTTTAATGATGTCCAAGGTTACACATCTAGCAAGTGAAAGCATATTATGCAGACTATGATATACAGTAGGATAGACAACACAGAGCTGGTTCTCAGTATCTTGGACAAACATACAGATGGTCAAAGAACTAAGGAGGGGATGAGAGGGTTGGACTGTATTTGGGAGATCTGGCATTCCTTTTAATTATACTATGAATTGAGATATCTGAATAGTTACACTTATGAAATAGCATTAAGGTTCAAAACTTCTTTCCTTATGCTTTCTTTTTCTATGTAGTACCTTCTTGTTTCTAATCTTATAACCTATGCCTGGTTGGTGGATATGTAAATTATTTGATCTCAATATACCAGAATGGATTACACAGTCACCTGGCAGGGCACAGAGAGGCACTGCTCAAAGGAAACATGTTTTGTCTGGCTATGATGACAAGTGACTATTATTGTCTTTCTCAACACAATTGATAAAGATGATTCAGAACAAATGTTACAATAGCACCCGTAGGCTCTCAAAAAGCTACCTTCAGGTTCTAGGTGGTTTGTAGGTCAGAATCCTCTCTTAACTACACTTCCAAATCCCTACCAGTATGTTCACTTTTCTTAGGTGAAGGATACATTTAGTTTAAAGCAAAGGCAAAAATGAAATAGCATAGTAACATGCTCCCTTCCTTAAACTTGGAACTCGTTCTTCCATAAATATATACAGTCACACTGAGAAGAGTGAATGTACATAGGGCTCACACATGGGATACATATATGGAGGAAAACATTCATGGCCACAGTATACACACAGAAGTGTAATTTACACCAATAAAGTTGTAGAACTACCAAAAGTCTTCCTATAATATCATCACATATCTATCTACTGAGCTTGCTCCCTGCTAAGTTTTGTTTCCTGTTCTCTCCACTGAAATTCACACCTCCACTCTGGCTAATCTTTTGTTATCCAGTTATCCTCAGAATCACTTAATACTCTGTGGGCCATATAATTGGGATGCTATGGTTAGTAAGCCTCTCCCCTGAAGGGGAGGGGTCAGAGTTCTGTCAGTCACGTCTTTCAGTCTTCTACTGGTCCTTAACTAATCTTCCAGCTAAGTTCTATCTTGAGGTCCACCAGACATTTTGTCCACCATCTACTAAGGAATGCTGTAGTTAGGTAATCATCTTCTCTTCAGGAGAGGACTTCAGCTTTTCCATCTAACCTTCTTCTTCTTAACCATTGTGGTCACAGAAAGTAGGGGATGCCTGGGCTAAGATTATTCATCTTGACTCAATTCTCCAGTCTTTTTTTTCCTTCTCTTTGACAGCCACTCTCCCACCCTGGATATACTTCTATCCTGAGGCCCCACTCTCCTGACTGGTGATTGCTACTCAGACCATTATTTCAGAAGGAGCCTAAGTAATGCTTCACTTCATTCCCAACTCTCTAGACTTACTTTCTTCCTCTACCAGCCACTTTCCCCCCTGAGTTCCATCTCTCTGCCTGCTTTTCAGTTCCCTTTCGTGTGTGGTCTTCCCTCATTAAACTCCCTGAAAGTTGTTTTGCTTGCTTTTGTTTCATCAGCACTTAATATAATGTCTGACATATAATGAGCACTTAATAAATGCTCACTTGATCTGTCTGTCAATCTATCAACCATCTGTGTGTATTCTTTGAACTCCTCCCTCCTCTATTGTCTCCTTAGACTCCTTCAATCACAACTCTTATCCAATTTTTCCAAAACTCATTTTAGTTCTTTGCTCTTATCTATACCCATCCCATTAAGGCAAGTATCCCCAGGGCTCTATTCTTAAATGAAATTGTGTTGAGTGAGAAGTAATTTTCTCCCTATTATATTAATAACCATTTATTAAGTTAGGAGTAAGGTTTTTTTCCCTTTATTTCCTCATTCAGGGACCAGCCCCTATTGGTCATTTAGCTAGTCTCTGAAGGACAAGGCTGATAGATGAGACTGTCCAAATCCTCCAGGAACATGCTCCTTAATCTTGGGCATGACTTCACACAACTAGAATACCTTACTTCGGTTTAGAGTGTGAACTGTTTAGAGTGAATCTAGTTGCATTCCAGACCTAAAGCATTAAGTCCATGGCTGGCACCCTTCCATTAGGGTTTAGTCTAACCCAGCTCGTGAAGGAGTAAAACCAGCCAGAGTGGTCTGGGTATAAATGGATTCCTTTTTCCAGATTGCTGAAGGTGGCTGAGTCTCATGATCAAGCCACATTCTTAGCAGGAGGAGCTGAAGACTTTTAGCCCACCTCCTCATTAATATGTCCATGCCCATTAATTGTTCACCAATCAGAGCTGATTTTCACTGGTCAGGGGCACCTCCTTTTCCAAAGGTATTTAAGTATTCAGTGATCTCCATAGTTTTGTCTCTGGTTACCCAGAGAGACCACTGATCATCAATTTATTGATTATCAGCTAGCTTAATTAATAAAATTGATTATTAATTACCCAGAAACTCTACCTCTTGAGCTTTTCATTCATCTAATGAGGAAACTGTTTTCTACCTTACTCCATAAAACAACCTCCCAGGTTGCAATGGATAGAGCTCCAGCCTTGGAGTCAGGAGGACCTGAGTTCAAATCCAGCCTCAGACACTTGACGCTTATTAGCTGTGTGACCCTGGGCAAGTCACTTAACCCTGATTGCCTCACTAAAAATAGCAAAAAACAAACGACAACAACAAAAAAACCCGTCCTTTATTTTATGCAAATCACAAGGGCTGGGCTGGTTGGAAAACAATGAAAAGGTTAGTTCCATTTCTGTTCCATCACAAATCACAACTTAATCTCTCTACAATTTCTCTACACAACTTCAAAAATCAATTAATTTATCCTAAATGTAACCCCTCAACACTATTGAATTATGAAAAAAAATTCTTCAGGTGGAATCTGATGAAAGGAATGAATATTTACAAAAAACCTTACCACATTGGTTTTAACTTTGAAATTAGAGTAACAAACTCAAGAGTTTACTTACTTCCTGGTACCAGTTCAAAGTAGGGTTTTCCTTCCTCAATTGACATGTTAGCCAATTTTCCTTCTATCAACTCTCCATCTATGAATTTCCCATAAATTGTGGTCTTCCCATCAGGGTAGACATAGGCTATCTTGTCTCCAGTCATCTCTCCTTCTTCATTAACTTCACCTACCAGAGTACCTCCATCCTGGTGGGAGAAACCAAAAAACAAGAAACATTATATATAGACATAATAAGAACAAGATATTTCTTTACCCACTCCCCTACTCGGTTTATTCTTAATTTTATGAATCATTGTCCTCACAGGGACAGCTAGGTGGCACAGTAGATAGAATGCCAGGCCTAGGTTCAGGAAGACCTGAGTTCAAATCCAGCCTCAGACACAACTGTGTGACCCTGGGGAAATTACTTAATCCTGTTTACCTCAGTTTCCTCATCTGGAAAATGAGCTGGCAAAGGAAATGGCAAACCACTCCAGATTCTTTGCCAAGAAAACTCCAAATGGGGCCACAGAGTCAGACACTACTGAAAAATGACTGAACTACAACAAATAGTCCTTACAATGACATTGCAGGGACTCAGAAGGTGAAAACACCTTTAAAAATTAAACAAACAATTCATCATCTGAAGTACATATGAATGGAGAATATTAAGTGTTAGTAGGTAAAAGAATACAAAAGGGTAGAGGAATAGAAGAGAAACCTGGCAGAGAGATAGGGAGTCTCAAAGTTCTCCACTGGCTCAGGTAAAAAATTAGGTATAATTTTAGTAAAGTCACTTACAATCTATTACAGTTTGTCTGTGAACACAAAAAGGTAAGGTGGGGAACCTGTGGTCTTGAGGCCACGTGTGGCCTAGCTACCTAGAGCTAGAAAGGCCCTTAAAAGATCATCTCTTCCAACCCCCTCATTCTACAAAGGAGGAAAATGAAGCCCAGTTAAGTTTGATGATGTCCAAGGTCATGTATCTATTAAGTGGAAGAGATAAGATTTTAACCCAGGACCTCTGACTCTGAATTTCAGAAAGTGAGAAAGTGACTACAGTGAAAAATGTTCCCAAATTAATTTATAATGTAGGTCCATAATAATATGATTATAGCCATGATTTATTGTTACTTATATTCTTCTTCTCTCTCCACCCCCAGCCCCCTCCCCATCCTATATCTATCAGACTTTGCAGTTAAGCGCTGAGAAGATTGTAGGATCATAGATTTAGAACTTGAAGGCATCTTAGAAGCCCATCTAATTCATACTCCTAATTTTACAGATGAAGAAACTAAGGCTCAAGAAGGCTCTAAGAGTTGCCTAGGTGCGGCAGCTAGGTGGTGTAGTGGATAGAGCACCGGCCCTGGAATCAGGAGAACCCGAGTTCAAATCAGGTCTCAGACACATAACACTTAGAAGCTGTGTGACTCTGGGCAAGTAACGTAACCCTGACTACCTGACCAAAAAATTTAAAAAAAGAGTTGCTTAGGGTAACACAGATAGTAACAGAATCAGGATTTGAACCCAGGTCATCTGACTACAAATCCAGTGTTCTTTCTACTGTGCGAAACCAAAGGAAAGGATGTAATTGGAAACTAATACAAGATTCAACTTAGCATTTCTCAATTTAATACCATTTTACAGAAATGTAGCTGCTTGCTTTTTATAAGGCATCTAGCATAAGAGTTTCTAGACTCCCATTTTCTATTTTTTGTGAGAATGCTAACCCATAAGACGTAGCCCTGTTGGGAGGAAGACAAAAGAAATCCTCCGTCTCCTTTTCCCTCTCTTCCCTCTTGTTCTCAGTTGTCCTGTTTCCTGCTCTCCACTTCTGCCTCTTCTCTCACCCTATTCCAGTGGAGGAACTGATTTTGTTTTGGGCCTATTTCACATAGGTAAATGTTTCGCCCCCCAAAGATAACTGTGGGAAGGATTTGGGGCACAGGTTACTTCCGTATACTCCCTAATGTAAGTACACATACATATGGCAGTGTCCCAGTTGAACTGAGGAGCTAAAAAAATAATGAGCAATCTGGGTCAGAGGTGTCTATATTGTCTGTGTTTTTTAATCCATAATGCTCTTAGAGTAATAGTTCAAGTATAACTGCAGGAATACATAAAAGAAGATCTTTGAGGTTTTGATATAAACAATAGTTCTGTCATGACGTCTTCCAGAAACTCGGTTATTTCCCTCAACTCAAAGGTTCTGAAAAAAAAATTAAAAAAAAAAAAAAGTTCTGATGCCTGAAGAGCTTTCTGTCAAGTAGCCCAGGGTTACTTTCTGAGTATTCCCACAAGTGCCAGTGTTGGAAAAGCAGCAAGAAAAAACAAACAGAAGGTCTGCATTATCTTCTCAGCACCATTCAAACCAAGAGGTTTTCAAATACTCTAGAAAAACATAACATTTCCTTGGAGTGAAATACTTTTTATGTTCTGGAAATGGGTCAGAAACATCTTTTATGCTTTTTCCTCCCTGCTAGCTTGTTCCTAATTACACTAAAAACATTAGCACAGTACAAAAGGGGATAATAACACCTTCAGCACTGCCTCCCTTCCAGGAGAGCTGTGAGGATTACTGAGACAAGGGTTGGTAAAGCACTCATGCTCCTTAGACAGAGATTCTCTACGAATGCATGTCATTAATGTGGTTTTTAAAGAGAAGTCTGCTCGTGTTCTGGACGTCTTTTGTTTTAAACTTTTACCTGCTTCTTGTTTACGCATTTGTCTAGTTGGATGGTATCTAGAAGCTTCTGTTTTTGTGAGGGGAAATGGAAAGTTTTAACTTTTTCTTCACTAAAAATAAACCCGAAACTTGGGGACAACTAAATGGTATAGTAGATAGAGTCATCCCTTGAGTCAGGAGGATTTGAATTCAAATCCTGCTTCGGATACTTACTAAGCTGTGTGACCCTGGGCAAGTCACTTAACCTGACTGCCTCCAAACCACGCTCCGCCCCCCCCCCCCAAAAAAAAACTTGCTTGACAGTTCCAAAGTTCATAATCTTATCAATTTAGAACAGGGAGGCAATGTCATTAAGTCATTTACTGTAACCCTCTGTTTTACAGAAGAGGAGACTGAGGCCCAGAGAGGTTGAGTGACTTGTCTAAGGTCACACCCAAGTGAGAGAATCCAGGCTCTCTAACTCCAAATCCAGCACTCATTCCATGGCACCACATTGTCTCAAGGAAAACCCAATGGATAAAAAGGATTCCCCAGCTTGGATCTTCTTTAAGTATACTTGGCCCAATCAAGTTGCTTTCTGTCTTTATTTTCTTTAATGCCATTATACCTTCTTAATAAATACATCTGTGATGTTGGAGTCCATGTGTTGGGGCTTTACTGTCCTTGGTGGTGAAAAAGTTTCTTCTAAAGCACTTTTGCTGATCTTTCCATTTTTCTTCTCCTTGTTCTTTTAGAATTTTCATCCTTAAATGCTCGCAGGATTAGGGTCTTACCAAGCTTTCTTTACACTGGTTTTGTTCTTCACTACTTCTGTTTTAATAAGTGACTTTGTTGTTGTTGTGGAGTCTTGTCCAACTCTTTGTGACTCCATTTGGGGTTTTCTTGGCAAAGATACCGGAGTGGTTTGCCATTTCCTCCTCCAGCTCATTTTACAGATGAAGAAACTGAGGCCAACAGGGTTAAATTACTTGCCCAGGATCACACAACTAGAAAAGTGTCTGAGGCTAGATTTGAAATCATGAAGATGAGTTTTCCTGGTTCCAAGCCCAGTGCTCTATCTACTGTATTACCTAACTGTCCATGATGAGTGATACTGTGCATAATTTTCCATCTTCCTCCTCCATAAGATTTTACAAATGAATTGATATTCTAAACTAGTGTTGATTTTGGTTATTTCCTTTCCTCCCTTTCCAAGTGTCTGCTAAGGCACTTTTTAAAAAAATTTTTTTGGTCTTCTTGTTATGATGATAATGATGATGATGATAGTTAACATTTACATAGTGCTTATTTTTCCTGACTCCAGGCCCAGTGTTTTATCCACTGTGCCATCTAACTACTATCTACCAATCTATTTATCTATCTGTAATATATGTGTATATGTATATATGTGTGTATATTTATATATACACATGTGTGTGTACACACACACACACACACACACACACACACATATTTACATTAGTTAAGCTTCAGTATAGAATTTGGTCCACAGACCATTTTTCTTTATCAATAACTTGTTTGACCACATAAAGATTGAGTTGTTTTGGGCAGAATTGGGGGGTGGAGCCAAGATGGCAGAGTGAAAGCAGTGACTTGCTTGAGCTCTCCCCTAAACCCTTCCAAATACCTGTAAAAAAAATGTCTCTAAACAAATTCTAAAGCAGCAGAACCCACAAAAAGACAGAGTAAAACAAATTTCCAGTCCAAGACAACCTGGATGGTTAATGGGGATGGGATATCATGGGTGGGGAGAGGAATGCATTTCGGCATGGGCTTGCAAGCCACAGTGACCCTAGAGCAGACCTCAGAGGACTGAACTGCAGACAACTGTGGCAGTTTCCAGACTTCTCAATCTACGAATGCCAAAGACAACTTAGAAGGTCAGTGGGAAAAGTCTGTGACTGCGGTGAGAGAGAAGCTCAAGTGCAGCCCTGGGTGGCAGCGGCCTCCTGAGCTTCCGGCCCTCAGACTGAGGGGAAATTGAGCTGCTGATCAGAGGGGGATTGCAGGGATCTCTTTGCCAGTGCTGAGGCAGGAATCTCTTGCTTTGCCTGTGCTTAGATCTGGGTCACAGTTCTGAGGGATGGCCCTGAGGCGAGGAGGAGTGCTGGCGTGGTGGAGCTTGTTGTGGCTGTGGAGAGGAAACATCTCGCCCCTTATCATACCACCTTGGAAGAACTGAAAATTTACAGGTCCCTAGAAGTATCTCTGAAAACAGCTGTACAAACCCCCGAAGCTTCGGACAGTACATTCTGCACATTGGAAGCAGACTCTTACCTTCACAAAGAGTTTAAAACTCAGGTAATTGGCCGGGATCATGAGTAAGCAGTGCAAAAAGAGACTATATTATCTTACTTTAGTGACAAAGAAGATCAAAACATACAACCAGAAGAAGACAACAAAGTCAGAGCTCCTACATCCAAAGCTCCAAGAAAAATATGAATCAGTCCCAGGCCTTGGAAGAGCTCAAAAGGGATTTTGAGAAGCAAGTAAGAGAAGTAGAGGAAAAACTGGGGAGAG